AAAGGGCTTTGGGTGGTCAGAAGACTAGAAAGGCGCTGTACAAGTACAGGTCCTTTTACCATAAGTTTATTATTGAAAGAAAATTAAAAAACAAGATGCTTTCAATAAAGATTGTACTCAACAATAACCTGCAATAAAAATATTCTTCACAAAGTACACAGGAGACAAAAGGTTGATTCCTGCAGTTTAAAACTTCACTGCTTTTATAATTGAAACATTGTAAGAACAAAAACTCTCCAGATTACTTACTTAATACTTATTAGTAAAATAGAGTAGATGCTACCTTTTTGTAAGAGAATTAATACAAGCTAGTTGTCAAAACACCACATCTGATTCATGAGGAGGCAGTACAGGTGCTACCAGAGGCTCTCAAATCATCAGTAAGTAGTGATACATGAACAGAGCTGCTGCTGCAGTGTTAACACCGGCTGAGAGACAGCAAACAGGAATCATGAGTGTGGCAGTTGTGGCTTCAGGCTGACAGGAGTTTGTATCATTATCAGCGTGTACAGCACAGACACTCAACTTGCAAACAAATATTAATATTTATCAGATAAAATGAATAAACATTATGATTGCTGCTAGCAGGCCAGAATGCTGCGCTGAAACTAGCATGTTTCCACTCCTGATATTAGCAAGCTTGCATACAGCAATTGTCATTTGGCTAATTAAGCACAGTGGTTCAGGGAGGGTCTGAGGTCGCAACTCTAGTTTTCACTGAATTGGATTTTTCATTGTCGACCTTTTAATGCTTGCTGTCCTCATTCATCTTTGCCAAGTCAGGGTTGCCACTCTTTGCCACCTTGCCAGGAGTTCTTCTTTACAATATAGGACAGCACTTGCTCACAAACGGTTATATAATTTACAGGTAGGCCTAGCAATGACACATTTAACCCTGGCTAATGCAGGGTTTATTATTAAGTGTCCCAAATTCCTTACAGGTAGGTGGTCAGCATTTATGGGACACTCCCAGGGTGCGTGGGAACCCTGCAAGAGGCTAATCCAGCCACAGAAAGAAGTCAGGTGAATGTGATCTTTAGCAGTGCACTTCACAGATTGCTGGCTCACAACTTCCCAAGTAACAGCCAATGGACATTATTGAACAATGGAATAAACAAGCAAAAACATTCACCAGGGTGAATTAATTTATTTACATGGTGAATTAGTAAATAGTCAGCGGGACAGATTTATACAGTATGACTTCCAGCTTGACCTGCTGCTGGATGACTCTATAGGTTTCCAAAGATGGGGTGCATATTAAAAATATTAAAGCCTACCTGTCGGTGTCTCCGTACACAACGCGTGCTCCCCATTTCTTAGTGTCATTGACCATCTTGATGGCTCTCTCCAGGGTCTCTCTGGCTTTGTGGACGATGCTGTCTCCAACCTGGAAACCACAGGGGAGACAATCATAAACAAACAGGGTTTGAGAGTTGAAGTTTCAGAGGGATTAAGTTAGCATTTGGAAAACCTCATCTGAGATACTAGAAATGAAATATTTTTTATGAAATATGTGTCCTATCGATTTCACCACAGATGGCTTTAAATATGGTGATATTTAAAAACAAAACCAACACAAAGCTTCTGTCCTAGTCCTTAATGTCTTCAAGTTTTCTGCTGAATTTCTTCTGAGATTGCTAGCCTTTGGTAGACTGTGTACTCTTAGTGCAGACAGCTGACACTATTGATGAACTTACCTCCACGCTGGGCATGCGTCCGGAGTAGTTGGCGGCGGTGTAGCCAAAGGTGACGTTTGCGATGAGCTTCAGCCCGAGCTGCCGGGCGTGCAGCAGCCTCATCAGGGCCTTGTCCTGCTTGTGGGCTTTCATCGACTGCTTCACCATGATCCGCGTGTTGAGGATTTCCTCCAGCATGCTGGGCAGGACCCCTTTACGCACTGAGGACTGGACACAAACAACAAAAGGGGTAAACACGTTGGTACAAACGAGGACAGATCCAGCAAACACAGCAGTTATCAGAATAAAACAAAAATTCTATGCCCCCTGAAACAACATCCTCACTAAGTAAAAACTGTGTACTTTAAAGATGAATATATAATTCACACTGTATACAGATAGTATGTAGTATTTCTTCAGCAACATCAAGCAAATTTTTTGATAAAATGCAGCTAAAAAGAAACAAAATCAGATCCAGACCAAACCTGAATTCCCTCTGTGCCTTTTAATAACCTCATTACACATCAGTGTTCACTGCGCCGTGGCCGTGTGTGTGTGTTTTGTGTTATGTAATAAGACTGCGGGACTGGAGCCAGGGAGTGTGGAGAAACGAGTGAATGAATGAAAAGCATGAATGGAAGGAAGCAGAGCATGAAGTGGGCTTTTTCTCTAGCTCGGCCTTTAACAGCAGCTGATGACCCTTAATAACCCTGCACTACTGGATGACCCAGAGAGATGATTCACACTCAGACCGGGTGTTCTGCCAGGACAGCGTTAAAGTGATATCTTATCAGAGCGGAGGGTCAGAGGATGCCGTACCTTGACGAAGGCGATGCCGTTGGGTGACACGGTGATGTCATTGCGGAGCTGGTAGAGGAGCTCCGGAGGAACCCGTAGGGAGGTGCAGCCGAACCTAAACTCATCAGGCCTGAAACAGAGACACATAAATCAAGACAGGAAATTCAGAGGAATTCTCATCCTTTCCTAGGAATCACTGTGCTGCTGCCACTGCAGTATTCTCCTTTCTACACCAGTAACATCAGGTTAGGCCACTCTGAGAAGCCAAAGCCCCGCTACTGCAGCTTTAGGATTGGCTGCTGATGTTTGATGCAACTTTTACAAAGGGTTTACCTGAGCTAGAACATATAACAGCCACTATACAGGCTTAGTAGTATACAGCTGGTACATTGTTTTATTTTTTAACCCATTTGTATCAGGTAAGGTAGGGTAAATTTTAGTTTAGTCCTGTGATTCCCCACCTCCAGGTTGGGACTCATCTAAGGGGTCAAAACATAAATGTAAGGGATTGCAAGATGATTGCTGGGATACGAGAGAGAGAATGAGGTACTTGATTGTTTTACTTCTTAAGTCCTCTGACAGTCATTACAAAGAAACAATGGAACAAGCTTAGAGGGGCAAAATAAGTCTATAAAATATCTGAAAATACGAAAAATTGGTCATTACAATTTCCAATGTCCAAGGTGATGTCTTCATATGTCTTGTTCCTTCCGACTGACAGTCCAAAAACTAAAGATGTTCGGTTTGCGATCATATAAAAACAGAAAAGACTTGACCGTCTTATTCAAAAGGTAGAATTATGAGCTGATTAAAGCTTATTAAATAAACTCTGAGATGCAGCAGTTGAATTGGATATTCTGAAATTCCCAACAATCCCCAGAATAATTTGCCACTTTCCACTCTGCTGAGAATGAAGCCATCACTCCTTTTTTCTTTTACCTTAGAGTAGTAGACGTATGCATGTTGGAAAGTAGTGTTCATGGCTCCTGCTGTTGCTATGCAACTACAGTAATCCTGGTGGAAAACCAGAAATATATCCTAACTTACAGCGCTGACTGCTCTGAACATGCAGAGCTCTCAGCGTGCCTGTTCCATTAAAAATAATGAGGGAAGGAAGGCAGCGCTAGGAGGAAGACTTTCCTGGCAGACATGCAACCTAAGCAAGTTGGACTACACGCTGTGGCTGTGTGGGCCTGTCATGTCCTTACGTTCCCAGGCTGTCCACGTGGCCAAGGCAGGTGGAGTAGCAGTAGTTGTACGCGATGACAATGGAGGGATAAAGCGACTGGAAGTCCAGTACAATCACTGAGTTGCTGTAGAAGCGAGACTCGGGCTCCATCACTAGAGGAATGCACTGCGGCGCCCTCTGCTGGGCTCGCTGCTGGATGCTGGGTGTCACAGGGATGTAGTTCAACGGCTTGGCCACGCGTAGCATCATGGACTCCACGCGGTACTGTAGGGACAAAAAGGAAGAACATGATGATTATTTGTCTATTCATTTATGCCTTTGTAAAACGTGTACTCTTCTAGTTAAAAATAATGACGTATGGACAGTAATGATAAAATGAACACTACATCAAATAATTTCTCAAGATAAAATTTTGTAATTACTAAGCTGTCAGATGGTAGTGGTAATTGGACATTAATTAATCAAATAATTGATTAATCTGTCAACCATTAACAGCCCCCCAAGATCCTTACCCTAACATTAAAAACACCAGACCCAAAGTGGAAGTTAAAGCTGCATTCATTGACCTTTTTGGCCACTTTGGGAAAGTGGAACAAGCTGTACATACAATAATGAAATTGTAAACAATTATTTAAACATACAGCCGACATTCATTTGGAGTGCTCCAATATTTACTCTCTTTTCAGCTCTGTTTTTATCTGATTCTTTAGCTGCTTAATGTTCTACTACAGTGCTGATCAGGTTGCCTACAGTGGGCTTATCACAGTTTTTTCAGCTGTTTATGTGAATGGACCAAAATGTTAAACGTATGAGCCGTAAAACCAAAACAATGAGCTCCAAGAGGCTAAAAAGCTCTGTAGAGCTGAGGAGAACTGCAGAGTCAGATAATAATTCTCTGTGGTTTCTTCATTGCCATCTACCCCTTACTCCATTACTTTTTTTAAAAAGGTATTTTTATTTTATTTTATATAGGACAGGTGAAGATAGGCAGGAAAGGAGGGGGAGAGCAAGAGGGGGGATGACATGCAGCAAGGTTGGAATCAAACCCGGATCTCTGCGGTAAGGAGTCAGCCCATATGGGGCATGCACTCTATAAGGTGAGCTACCGTGCATCCCGAGACCAATTTTATTCATACTTACAAAAAATGAGAGAGAATCCATCAGCACTACAGCACAATATCATTCACCGCCGTTGTTGTCCTTATTGCCTTTGGTGTGGACGGGCCTCAATAGTGATACAGAATATGATCCGACATAGAAGGACCCTTTATATTGACAGAAGAGGACCAAGTATGGATCCTTGAGGAACACCATAGCTGTCAAGAGTAGGTAATTAGTGACCTTGACAAGAGCCTGTTTGCTGTGTTGAGCCCAAAAAGAGGACATAGAGAGACATTATTAAGTCCACATGGGGAGAAGGTCAGGCTACATGTGACACTGTAGACCACAACTTGTTTCCTGTTGCCTACGACAGTCAGCATTCTTTTTTTTTTAAACATGAACGTGGTCATTCCATAACCTTAACTATGTACTTATTATTGTAACAACAATTGGACCAGCAATGTATCTTGTCATTTAATTTGAAAAACTTGTTGGTAGTTGTTGAGGGTTGAGAGATCTACTAGGTTTGATCAATGAAGGTTAACAATGACATGTATAAAATTAGGTTGAGAAGGAGCCAGCAGTCAAATAACTAGTAAAAGTAAATTAATTAAACTGACTAACAATTTAGTGAAGATAAACACTGACTGTTGCTGGCTGAAACTGGCTGAGAGAAACAGCTCTGAGTTAGATTCTTACTCCACCTGGTACCAAATATGAACCAAACATTTTATTTTGGGTCTAGATTCAGAATTGAGACAAGACTACTAACAATGGAAGGACAAACACTCTTCATAAGACAAAAGAGGGATCACTGAATACGATATTTGTGCTGCAGTGGAAGGAGCAATTCAAGAATACCTTCTTCAAGTTATTAATTAGTCCTTACCTGCAATAGTAATTTGTTTTATATTGCAGTCCATTCTTTAATACATTTTGGAAGTGTCAAAGGGTTAACTTGATATTTGTTTGTTTTCTGCCTGTGAAATCATTGTTCTTTGTCCTCTAAACCTGAAAAGACCTTTCCCTGTTTGCCAGGCCGTTCTCTTTTGCAATTTGTTACTAATTAAATTGCATGTTGATAAAAAGGATAAATAAATATGTCTTACTCTACCTTGTAGAATCCTCTCAACCTGACTCCCTCCGCTAAGAGCCATCCTTGGGGCTGCAGACGTCCTCATCACCCAGTCATCTCTACCAGCATAAACCACCTATGATAAGTGCAGCTGTAAAATGCAGATGTAAATTACGAAATTATAAGGTCAAGCATCATTCACATGAGATAAGTGAGTCTCATGGGTTTTTAATGTGGAGGAGAAATCCTTAAATTTGGATTGTAATTACCCAACTTTACCATCATTTTATAAAGACAACATTTTACATTAATTTCTGCATGTCATACATTTATACTGTGCAGTGTTTAAACTTTGGGCTGTGCAGGATCTCCCCAATAATTTCCTTGCAGCTCTCAAGCAGCAAAGTGCTCCTATTTTAAAATGCAGTCTAAAATGTGTGCCAAGAGCAGACAGTAGGTGTATATCATTTCAATAAATCTGAGTGAAGGAGACAAATTCACAGCTCTCTATCACGACTCTGATGGATACAGAGGGGGAGGCAGAGAGCACTCAGAGGTCTGTCTGCAAGCCCTTTAACTCACCGGCTGTCTGCACTGTAGGTGTGGTGATGCTGCAGGAAGAGGCATAATATACACACAGAGAGATAAGATGAGTGCAAACACATAGACATTTGCACACATACACTCACTTCAGTGCATATCTATGCTGACAGGGCATGTATATTGTACATAAATGACTTGTTAAGCACATAACTAACATACATACACATCCTTACACAGTCAGTTTGGAGACTAGGCTCGATTAAAACATTCTGGATGACAAGAGGAGATGATCTGTAGGCTATTCCTCAGGCTGTCATCAGGAGGTGGGGGTTGGGACTCAAATGTACTGGGGGCAGGAAGTATTATATTATCTAGGTACTGTGCATGGCAAGAATATGTAATCAATTACAAAATACATATTACTAATTTAAAACATTATTACTGCCGATTCTACTTACGTTAATCAGCAGTTCTGGAAAGGTGCCTTTTAAAAATCCTGGGGCGCATGGTAGCCCACCTGGTAGAGCTTGTGCCCCATGTAGTAAGAGTCCTTACTGCAGCCACCCGGGTTCAATTCCGACCTGCAGCCCGTTGCTGCATGTCATCCTATCAAATAAAGAAATAACAAGCCCTAAAAATATCTTAAATAAATATATATATAACTCCAAATCCTCCACACAGCACAGCTTGCAATATGTGTGGAAATGAAAACGACACATTGTGGTTTATCAATCAGCTAAGATTATTCCTACACTGACCTGAGGACAATCTGAATCAGTGCCAAACATCATGGCATTAAAAATGATTCACATACGTAGTGTGTGATGGCATATTGCCACAAATAGTCAAAATAGAAAAAGGCTTGAGGGATAACTTTAAATCCAGTTTACTGTCTTACATATCATGGATGCACACCAAGCTAACACACCTCCACTGAGTGCAGAGAGACAAAATGGTATCAACCCTCCTACCAAACTCAGGGTAATACAGTAAATAAACCGATCCTCCAAATTGTCAGACTGAGTCTTACTGTTATTAGTAGGGTAACTGTAATGTAATTACTCAATTTCAAATCAGAACCTCTGTATATACTCTGTATACTATACTGCTCATTATTAAAAGTAATCACATTGCTGTCTACTACTGGGAGAAGGGTTTTATCATATAATTTAGCTTCAGCCTTCTGACAACTGGCAACTTCTTTTAGTTGCAGTGGATCCCTCGCTGTCCTGCTGAGTGTTTGAGATTGTGGTAATTATGAGAGGAATATTAAATTTGATAGGAGTAGGCATGTGTCTGTTTGTGTATGTATATGAGTGTGTTTGTGTATGTATGTATATGAGGGTACATGCTGAGGACTGGCAGACTTTTTGCAGAGTGCTAAAGACACGAAGGACAGGTGAGAAGTCTTCATTTTGCATTTGCTTTCTAATATAATATGATATTCCCTATTGCCTAGCAACACAAGCATCACCAGAGGTAATCATGTCAGCCCAATTCATTGAATCTAACAATGATTCACCAATAAGTGGCATGTTATGACCCAGCTTTAGGGGTAAATGGATACCAAGAAAATTAAACCAGGTCCCAGGGGTATCCAGGCCTGTGATAAACTAATGGAAATCAATCGGGGCTCTCTCATTAAAGCGATAATCAAGTATGTCTAGTGAAGTTGCATTGATTGGAAAACAGTTTGAGTGACAGCCATGCTAACCTCAGGGGCAGTTAGGATGAGTCATGGTGAGTGAGACTTTTGAAGCATCTTCTGTGTCACTTGTCATATCCTGCCTCCTTACTTTGATCCGGTGGGACACAGCAGGTCACATGCCGTGACACTGTCCAAATGATCCACAAGATGATGGTTAGATTCACACTATTACTTACTGCACTGTGTTTAGTGCGAGGTGTTTGATGACAAGAATGAGCAGGGGAAAGGAAGTAAGAGTATATGCAGGTTTACTTTTTATACAGCTTGCTTTTGTAAAAGATGTTTGAATAAAAATTCATGCTTACGTACTCACTCTGTTGCCATATGAGCCCTGGTCTTTCTGCCTCTCTTTACCCTCCATCTGTGTTGAAGCTTCGGGACAGCAATCTCTCCACCCACGGTTTACTCTGAGAAAGTTGCCTACGCCTACCTATGGAAACACTTTCCCTTAGTAAGTTATTAAACACAACTCCCCCCAGTCATGGCAATATTGGCTCATCACCTGTGTGTGTGTGCTTTCATTTCGATTTCATAAAACTAAACAGAATTCCCTGTGGTGAGAAAATATTTGTTCACCTTCTGAGTGTTTGGAGGTTTGTGTGTGCGTGTTAAATGTCATTGCCTACTGGCCATCCATATTGTCCCGTGGGTGTAAATACATAGTGATGAGTGGAGGAGAAAAGCAAGGTAAAGGCACAGCAGTGACTCAGGTCAGGTGGAGGCGTCACACTGACGTAAAGCATCAAAAAGCCATTCTGCTAAACAGCAGCAAACAAAAACACATATATACACATAGAGATCTGTTTATTTTTCTGCCAGTATCAAGCTTCTCCTG